CAGGGGTAATGTGGTATCTCATTGTGGTTTTAATTTACACTTCCCTGATGATCAGTGATGTTGAGCAATTTTTCATATGTTTGTCATTTGTGTCTCATCTTCAGAAAAATGTTCATGTCTTTTGCCACTTTTTAATGGGATTTTTTTAAATTGCTGATTTATTTGTGTTCCTTGTAGATTCTGGGTATTAGTCCTTTGTCAGATGTATAGTTTGTGAGTATTTTCTCCCATTCTCTAGGTTGCCTATTTACTCTGTTGATTATCTCTTTACTGTGTAGAAACTTTTTAGTTTAATTAACTTACATCTGTTTGTTTTGTTTTTGTTGTATTTGCTTTTGGGGTCTTGGTCATAAATTCTTTGCCTAGGCCAATGTCTAGAAGAGTTTTTTGTACATTTTCTTCTATAATTTTTATGTTATCAGGGTTTACATTTAAGTCTTAATCCATCTTGAGTTTATTTTTGTGTATGGTGAGAGATAGAGACCCAGTTTCATTCTTCTTCATGTGGCTCTCCAATTTTCCCAGCACCATTTATTGATTAATGGGGTCCTTTCCCAGTATATGTTTTTGTCTGGTTTGTTGAAGATCAGTTGGTTGTCCATATTTTATTTCTGGGTTGTCTATTTTGTTCCATTGATCCATGTATCTACTTTTATACAAGTGCTGTGCTATTAATATTTTGGTTACTATAGCCTTGTAGTATAAAGTCAAGTAATGTGATGCTTCAGATTTATTCTTTTTCCTTAGGATTGCTTTGGCGATTCAGGGTCTTTTTTTATTCCATGTGAAATTTAGGACTCTTTTTCTAGTTCTGTGTAAAATGACCTTGGTATTTGGATGGAAATTGTATTGAATCTGTAAATAATTTTAGGTGGTAAGAACATTATAACAATATTCTTCCAATCCATTAGCATTGGATATTTTTCCATCCGTTTGTGTCATCTATGATTTCTTTCATCAGTGTTTTGTAATTCTCCTTGTAGAGATCTTTCGCCTCCTTGCTTAAGTATATTCCTAGCTATTTTATTTTTTTGCATCTATTGTAAGTAATATTGAGTTCTTGATTCTCAACTTGATTGTTAATGGTGTATGGAAATGCAACTGATTTTTGTACATTAATTATTTGACCTGAAACTTTACTGAATCTATTTGTCAATTCCAGGAGTCTTTTGGAGGAATCTTTAGTGTTTTCTAGATATAAGATCATATTGTTGGCAAACAGGGATAGTTTGACTTCCTCATTCTTGATTTGGATACTTTTTATTTCATTCTTTTGTTCAATTGCTCTGGCTAGAGGTTCCAGTACTATGTTGATTAGAAGTGGTTAAAGTGGACCACCCTTGTCTTGTTCCAGTTCTTAGGGGGAGTGCTTTCAACTTTACTCCATTCGGTATGATGTTGGCTATGGGTTTGTCATATGTGGCTTTTATTATTTTGAGCTATGTTCCTCTATGCCTAATTAAGAGTTTTTATCCTAAAGCAGTGCTGGATTTTACCGAATGCTTTTTCTGCATATGCTGAGATGATCATATGGTTTTTGTTTTTAGTTCTATTTATGTGGTGAATCACATTTATTCATTTGTGTATGTTGAGTCATCCTTGCATCATGGGATGAAACCCACTTGATCATGGTAAATTATTTTCTTGATGTACTGTTCCATTCAGTTTGCTGGTATTTTGTTGAAGACTTTTGCATCTGTGTTCATGAGGTATATTGGTCTGTAGTTTTCTCTTATGGTTGTGTCCTTTCCTGGTTTTTGGTATCAGGGTGATACTGCTTCATAGAATTAAGTTAGGGAGGATTCCCTCCTTCCTGATGTTATGTGCCAGTTTTAGTAGAATAGGTACCTGTTCTTTGTAAATCCGTTAGAGACACCTGGTGTCTATGTAGGCAGTATGGCATCTGCTGTCTCAGCTCAGGTCTGTGTCAAAGGGAAGTGACCCTATGCAGGTCGCAGCCCAGTGCCCTGCTCCCAGGAAGCTCTCAGTTGGCCAATGGTAGCAGCGCCTAGGTTCGTCACGGTAGAAGGGCCCTCCAACACATTGGGATCTGGCAGACTGCTACAGGATTGAGAGGAGGAAAAGCAAAACACTCTGACCTACCGTTTCTGCTTGGTTTCAAATCCCTCGGGGGTTGGTCTCTGCCAAAATTTTGTTCCTTCTTATTTTGCTCCATATCTTCCCATGGGATCTCTGGTAAGGGTAGATTCTGTCATCATTCTTTCAGCATTTCATTTGGGCTATGCTTTCTCACCTGAAACTTTTCCTTCTATTTGGGACAATCAAGCAACCAATGTCTTTTGTCAGCTGTCTCTCCCCACCTCCCATACCCCCTGGGTAGTAACACTTTATTTGTTGGGTCACGGAGCATTCTGAGGAGTGGCCTGGGCTGGGGAAAGGACAGTTAGAGGGTTTGGATAGCAGTTAGTTACCAACCATAGTGGAAGTACTTCAGTATTGTAACAACTAACATCTGTACTGGTGCATGTTGACTGATTATTAGCCTTTGTTGTAAATTAGGCAAGGGAAAGAAAGAAATTCAGAGGCAGGATCTCTGACTAAACTACCCTATTATGTGTCATTTACACTCAAAATATCTCTTTATCTGAGAAGATATGTACCCTGTTATTAATATCAACTGTTTCTATCCCTAGTCTACTTATCCTATCTTCCTTATGAAATATCTAATCCTAATATTACTTGACTATCATCTTAATTTATTTGTTTGTTTATTTGTGACAGAGTCTCTGTTGCTCAGGCTGGAGTGCAGTGGCATGATCAGAGCTCACTGTAACCTCAAACTCCTAGGCTCAAGCCATGATCCTGCCTCAGACTCCTGAGTAGCTGGGACTACAGGCACACACCACCATGCCTAGCTAATTTTTGTATTTTTTGTAGAGATAAGTTCTCACTATGTTGCTCAGGCAGGTCTTAAACGCCTGGCCTCAAGTGATCTTCCTGCCTCAGCCTCCCAAAGTGCTAGGATTACAGGTGTGGGCCACTACAACCAACCAGTTATTTTATTTTTTTGATAATGTTATTTTAAAAATTATTTTTATAGATTAGGATGTACAAGTACAGTTTTGATACATGGATATATTGCATCATGGTGAAGTCCGAACTTTCTGTGTAACCTTCACTCTATTAATGCACATGGTGCCCATTAGGTAATTTCTCATTCCATAGCCCCTTTCTGCTCTTATGAGTCTCCAATGTCTATTATTCCACTTTCTATGTCCATGTCTATGCATTATTTAGCTCCCACTTATAAGTGAGAGCATGTGGTATTTGACTTTCTGTTTCTGAGTCATTTCACTTAAAATAATGGCCTCCAGTTCCATCCATGTTGCTGCCAAGGACACAATTTTATTCTTTTTTACAGCTGAGTAGTAGTCCATGATATGTGTGTGTGTGTGTATGTATGTATGTGTACATATGTGTATATACACACACAAGACACTTGGACATTTAGGTTGATTCCATATTGTTGCTATTGTGGATAGTGCTATGATAAACATACCAGTGCAGATCTTTTTGATATAATGATTTCTTTTCCTTTGGGTAGATACCCAGTAATGGGATTGATGGATCAAATGGTAGTTCTATTTTTAGTTCTTTGAGAAATTTCCACACTGTTTTCCATAGAGGTTGTTTAAAGAGTTAATCTAGGACTGCTTGATGTCACACAATTAGTAGTTTACTCAGAAGTAGTCCTTGTTAGTAGCATCTTTGGAAAATAAAGGATAAAAATAGTACTGCACATTTGAATTCTCCTAATGTTGCTTTGTGATGTTTATACAGCATCTTCTAGCTTGCCAAGGAATTTATGTTTCTATTTGAAATGAGGTTCCTAGAGCTGCCTTAACAAAGTACCACAAACTGGGTAGCTTCAACCGAAATTTATTGTCTCACAGTCTGGAAGCTAAAGTTGGAAATTAAGGTGTTGGCAGAGTTGGTTCCTTCTGAGAACTGTGTAGGAGAATCTGCCCCATACCTCTCTCCTAGCTTCTGGTGTTTTACTGGCTTGTAGATGCTTCACTCCAGTCCCTGCTTTCATATTCATGTGGGATTATCCCTGTGCCTCTTCACATGGTCTTCCTTGTGTGCGTGTTCAGATTTTTCCTTTTCTATAAGGACACCAGTCATATTGGATTAGGGCTCACCCTGAGGACTTCATCTTAACTTGACTACATCTGCAAAGACCCTATTTCCCAGTAAGATCACTTTCTCAGGTACTAGGAGTTAGGACTTCAACTTATCTCTTTGAGGGGACACAATTGAACCCATGTGCCAATGTTAAAAAAATGCTTGTTGTTATTTCAGTGGTAGAAATTTGAGGATATTTGCCACATTGGTTTTTATTGTTGATTTACTTTAAGTATCTGAAATTTTTCTTAAAGTCTAAGCAGATTTTTTTCTAAATGGTATAATTTACACTGGAGAACAGTAATCATACAAATTACCTTCTTAATAGATAGTCATATTTTATATGGATATATTTACTACTTGGTGAAAACATTTGTCATTTTGAAATTTTAATGTAATTAAATGATGATATGATGCATGACAGTTTGAAGTCTGAATTACTACAGATACTGCTTTTATTTCCTTGTGGAAACCCTCCTGGTAATGTTTGTTTAGTTAGGCCATGTGGAGTAGAGTCTTTATTATACTCCTTCCTTAGGTAGTGATTAAGCTCTTATTTCCAGAAAGATTCTACTCCACAAGATAATGAAAATAACATCCTATATATGGTATTATTTAGCCAGGTTAAATGTCCTGTTGTCATTAATTCTTCATTAGACTTGTACATTTACTTTGGAACTTCCTTGAATTTCTTCAAGTTATGTTGTATTCACAAGTGTGATTTCAGATAGTATTTGAAAAGTTAGAGCAATTCCTCTGTTTTTTAAAGAAAATCATTGGGAAAATATTAGATGGTATATAAATATTCCTTTGGATAGTTTTAGCATACTAATAGTGTAAACATGTTTGTGCAGGTTTTGACTGGATCATCTCGTCAAAGTTATTCACCTTCTGGCTATCAGGATTTCAGTAAGTGGGAATCAATGTTGAAAATAAAAGAAGGACTTCTAAGACAGAAAGAAATTGTAATTGATCGGTGAGTCTATTTTTTAAAATTCCTAAATGTTTCAGGCACACAGGAATGTAGATTAATGAAACAATTACCTCTGCATCCACTACTTAGAGTTTGAGAACTAGAACCTTACAAATACATTGAGTGGTACATGTTTTCCCCTCCTCACTCCCAATCTTTTCAAGAACCACTCTTTGAACTGAGGGTTTATATGTTTGATTTCTATGACCCTCCTCATTCACTTAGTGAATTATTAATATTTTATTATTTGGAAGCTCCTCTCTGTCTTTTCTGTATATGTAGCAGGTTGTCTGCAATGCTAATGAACTATCACAGCTACAAGATAGTATCTTTGTGTTTTATACTTGGGAACTATCAAATTGGAAAACTAAAGTATAATAGTAATCTCCTTTAAATATGTTAGGTGTGAAGCCACAAACTATGAAGATAATGACTTATAGTTGAGAATTATGGGAGTTTTATGCGACATTTCCAAAGTTTTTGAATGTTTGGGTACCTAAGCTTTGAAAAAGAAATTCATTTGTACTTAATACAGTCCCCTGATTATTCTAAGCAGTAAACCTTAATGTTACTTAATCATATTATCTTTGATATAGACTGGTTCTATGTCATTTATGTATGCTTTTGGGATAATTAAACATGTTGTATATCATAGTAATTGGGAAATAGTTCTAGGAGGCTTTTTTTTCTTAGTGCTAATCGCTGCTTATTTTTGTGTGCTTGCATCTTTAAAATTCTAATTCAAATGTTAAATGCATTTAATAGTTGAAATTTCAAAAGGTTTTGCTTGGAAACTTAGCAGTATTAAAGGAAGATCTACTGGAATATGAACTAGACCATAGACATCTGGACTTTCTTGTTCTCTAGTATGTCCCTGATATTTTGAAGAGAGTCTAGCATGTAGTATGTGCTTAAAACTTGATACTTCCCTTGTTGATAAATGAATGAAGATTGTAGAAGGTAGTTTTAATTGATTTTAGAAAAAAACTACTTAAAAATATTAGCTGTTTCCAATACAAGTAAATCTGATATATGAATACACACATGCCCAGCTGTATATGTATTTTTAAATTATAATTTAATTCACTTATAATTTAATTTAATATACTTGAAATTAATATTTTTTAAACAGACCATTACAGAATTTTATTAATATGGATTTGCTCTCCCTCAAACAGAATCAATTGGCTTTTATTATTTTTTGAATGCCATTCCATTGGGTATAAGTCAGTAGAAAACGTAGAAAATTATTGACATATTCTAACAAAATATATATTTCTTAATTGTGTATATTATAGAATGGTGCATGTTTTAAATCTAATTTTAATTAATTTTAAAATCTAAGGAAGATTGGGTGGGGGCTGGTGGCCTAGGATGGTGGCCACAGCTATATGGCTTGTGTTTACTCCACGTGGTCTGTCATTCTGCAGCAGGCTAGTCTGGGTTTGTTCATGTGGTGACTGAGTGGGATTCTAAGAGTGAATGAAGCATATAAGGTCTCTCGAGGCTTAGGTTCAGAACTGGCCCAATGTCACTTTAGTTACATTCTGCTGGTCACAAAGCCAGTAGACCTTTAGACAGCAGGAGCAGCAAAGTCACATTGTAAATGGAGCATTAATAACACAGGGAGGGGAATAATTGAGGTATTTTGGTAAAAAATCTACCATACCCAGTATCTTAAATTATCTTTGGTTTCTTTACAAGTTTATTATAAATTTTTGATAATCAATGCATTTGATATTGCATAAAACAGTAGAAGAGAAACTAGCAGCTTTTGTTTCAAAAGCAGTATAACTAATATTTAAAAGTAAAAAAAGTTTGTATATAAAAATCTCTACAACATATATATTACTTAAAATTAGAACCAAATATATAACATTCTGTTTTTTGAAGAAGTAGATTAGATTAATGGCCTTTAAAATGTTGATGACACATGCAGAGGCTATTTCAGAGATAGAATTGACAGGATTTGGTGTCCAGTTGAATGGAACTGAGAGTGAAGAAGCTAAGCTTCCTACTTTGGGATGTTCTGTGTTGATGATACCTTTCAAGTCACTTAACAAAAATTATATTTTGGATATGATTTCTGAAATTATCAAGTTACCCATAATAATTACATGAGAAAAAATGTTTTTTTTTTTTTTCACACTGTAGAGCATATGTTTGGGAAAAATGACTGCTATCTAAATGGTGTTCCTAAATTTTCCCCATCTCACGAGAAAAAAGCATATATTATAGATTAATTTCAGGAACAATTCAGGAAAACAGGAAACCTAGTTTCTCATTCTTTTTATCTGCCACCATAGCCATTTAGGTGTTTCCTGAGTAAAGTGCTTAACCTTCTGCATTTTAATCTACTTATCTGCCTGGGTAAAGGAGTTTCACCACTTAAACAAGAATGAAGTTTTTTGAAAATTGATCTCATAGAAGTAAAGAGAAGAGTGGTTACTAGAGTCTGGGAAGATTTGTGGTGAGTGGGGAATAGAGAGAGGTTGGCTAATAGATACAATATTACAGCTAGATAGGAATAAATTCTAGTTATATAACACTGTTAGGGTAACTATAGTAAGCAATAATTTATTGTATGTTTTCAAATAGCTAGTAGAGAGGAATTTGAATGTTACCAACACAAAGAAATGATAGTCTTGAGATGATGGATATGCTAATTACCCTTATTTGATTATTACACATTGTATACATGTATTGAAATATCACACAAATATGTACAATTCTGTCAATTAAAAAGGCATGCTTTGTAGCTCTGATTTGTGTGGTGCAAAGGCAATATATGTAACCAAAATGTTCATACCTCCATAATATTCTGAAATATACATACATAACATATAAAATTCCCCCATATATATATATACATATATATATATATTTTAATTTTAAATGAAGTTTTTTGGAGGTCACTGTTCTAGGCAACTCCCCTCCTATACTCAATTTTCTAGCCTGAGAATTAGATGAATGAATGTATCTAAAAATCAGAATATACTGCCTGATACATAGTAGCCATCAGTGAATGGCAGTCATATACTCATGTTTTGTATGTTTGTTACTGTTTATATGCTTATCTCTCCTGAAAAGACTCTGAGCTCCTTCATAGAAGCGACTTTCTTGTACATTTCATTACTCATAATAGATGCTCAAAAATATTCAGAGGAAGTAGACTCATTTTAATAGAAGTCAACGTTGTTGGTTAACCTGTGCCATTGCTTAGACTAGTAGTTCTTATAATGGGTTTGCACTTTAAAATTGCTCAGTATTTGCCACTGAATTGATCAGATAGTAAATCAGTGTACTTGGAACTGACCCAGAGAGACCCTTATGCCTCCTGTGGTGACAACTGAGTTACTGCTATTCATAAATGACACTGGCAAGGTAGAAGGGAACTCTAAGTTTGCTATATATATATGTTTCTCATTTAATTATATGTGAAAGTAAAGTCATCTAATTGTGCTAGATAGGTTTTTAAAATCATTGGTGAATTCTTTGATGTAGTATTTTTATTTTTTTATTGAAATTTATAATCTTCTAATTCATCTGCCTTATAAGATAGGATTTATGATCAAATTACTTGGAGGAAGGCTTGCTTATAAGGGCATATCATGATTATGAAAAGTATTCCAAACTCCACACATTTGATTATGAAATGTGGGATTTTATAATGTTCATGGGAATTTGTAACATATGTGTTTTACTTTGAGATGCACCTCATAATGAAGGAATCATGGTTATTTTCCATCACAAGTGTTGAAGTGAGATTTGATTATTTTTACCAGCTAATTTGAGCATTTAAATGTACTTTTAATAGTTTATTTCTGTGGAAGTTATTTTGGTTGCTTATACCTAGGCATATAGTATTGATATTATACAATCAATGATAGAATGGGTTTTTGAGTCTATTCTATTTCAGTCCCAGCTGGTGTACTGAAATTCACTTCTGACACTGAACTCCCAGAGTTAGCATTAGATTCCACAGGTTTAAGGGCACAGTTCCCAACAAGACTATCCCACTTCAGATGCTAGCCACAAGTGGGATTACCCGGCGACCCACACTTCAGGCATCTGCTGTAACAACTATGTACCAAAGGAAATACCTAATCTAGCTAGAAATGCAGTTTGTGTACCTGATGTAGGGAAAGAATAAGAATGTATACATTCTGTCTCCAGTTGAGAAAATATAAAAAACTAAAAAAGTATATTTGTAACTTTTTTGAGAAAGTTCCTTTCCTTTATTAAACTGGGTCTCTGAAAATAGTTTCTATTGAAGGTTTTGAATCTAGAGTTCAGGAAACAGATGCATACATATACATACTTATATATATACATACACATACATATGTATAATTATTATTATATTATCTCCCAGTCTGAGGCTTACGTTTTTATTCTTTTAACTGTCTTTCACACAGCAAAAGTTTTTAATGTAATAAAGTCTAATTCATCAATATTTTCTTTCTGGATTGTGCTTCTTGATGTTGTAATCTATGAAATCTTTTTTTATTTGAAGACTTCTTAACAGAATTACACAAGATTTGTGAAAACACTTTAGTCTCTTAACATGTGGTGGTATGTTTAATGTAGTCTATTAGTGCTCTATTACTACATACCATCTTATATTTATTATCTCACAGTTTTCCATGGGTCAGGAGTCTAGGCGTGGCTTAGCTAGGTTCTCTGCTCAGGATCTTACAAGGCTGCAAACAAGGTGTCAGCCAGGGCTGGAGTTTTATTGTGGCTTAGAATGTCTTCCAAGATCATGTGGTGGTTGGCAGAATTCATTTCTTTGTGGTTGTAGGAATGGGGCCCTGACCTCCTAGAGACTACCCCTCTCTTGGAAATTTGAAACATGGCTGTTGGCTTCTTAAAGTCCAGCAGGAGAGCATTTCTGTGACTACTTCTGTCTCTGACCTCAAATTCTCTGATTTCTGTCCTCAAAACCATCTTTTCATGGCTCACCTGACAAGATCAGGCTTACTCAGCATAATCTCTTTATTGATTAACTTATTTTTTTATAGTTTTCTTTTTAAAATTTTATTTTCTAATTTTATATGGTACATGAGCAGATTTATTACATGGATATAAATAGTATAGTGGTGAAGTCTGGGCTTTTTGTGTAACCCTCACACAGTTAGTATATATAGTACCCATTAGGTACATTAGGTAATTTCTCACCCCACACTCTCTTCCATGCTTCCCAGTCTCCAGTGTCTATAATTCCACTCTTTATGTCTGTGTGTATACATTATCTAGCTCCCACTTATGAGAGCATGGGACGTTTGACTTTCTAAGTTATTTCAATTAAGGTAATGGCCTTCAGTTCCATCTGTGTTGCTGCAGTATGATTTTATTCTTTTTTATGGCCGAATAGTATTCCGTATATGTGTGTGTATATGTGTGTGTGTATACATAAATACATACATATATCATGTTTTCTTTATATAATTCCTGTTATCTCCTTTGTTGGTTTGTTAGCTATAACTCTTTGTTATGTTGTTATAGTGATTGCTTTAGAGTTTATTATATGTTTCTTTAAAATATAGCAGGCTATTTTCCAATTGTACTATTTCATATAAATGTAAGAATCTTATAAAGTATACTTTCATTTTTCCTCTCCTAGCCTTTGAGCTATTAAGGTCACAGATTGTATATTTACAAAAGTTATATGCCCTTGTAAAACATTATTATTTTTGCTTTACTCAGTCTATAATCTTTTAATGAGAGTTAAATAATAAGAAAAATATCTTATGTATTTGCCCATGTAGTTATCATTTCTGATACACTTCCTTCTTTTGTGTAGATCCAGGTTTTTATCTGGTATCATTTTTCTTTTGCTTACAGGTGTCTCTTTATTATTTCTTGTAGTTGAAATCTGCAAGTGATGAATTCTTTCAGTTTTTAAGTCTCCATAAAAGGTCTTTGTTTCACCTCTGCTTTTTGCATTTTCCTTGGATTAGGTATTCTAGATTGGTAGGTCTTTTCGTTTGTGTTATTTTTAAAATTTTTCTTGTGTAAGAAATTTTAGATTGGGAGCTTTTTAATTTTAGTATGTTAAAGTACTTCATTGTCTTTTTGCTTGCATTTTTCAAATGAGAAATCTGCTATTCTCTTTACCTGAGTGAATTTATTTTTTTTCCCTCTGGCTGCTTTTAAGCTTTTATCACTGATTATAAACCATTTGATTAAGACATACCTTGGCTTAGTTTTTTTCTTCATGTAACTTGTGCTTGGGGTTCCCTGAGCTTCTCCAATCTGTGGGTATATAGTTCTCATGAGGTGTGAAAAATTCTGGCCTGTTTTCTATGAATATTTTTTTCTGCACCCCCCCCTTACCTCTCCTTTAGGATTTCCAATTATACATATATCTGCCCTTTGGTATAATAGACCCATAGCTCATTGATGTTCTGAGTTCTTCTTCTCTTATTTGTTTGTCTTTTTTTCTGTGTTTTGTGGGTTTTTTTGGATATTTTCTATTGCTTTGTTTTCAAGTTCACTATTCCTCTACAATGTCTAATCTCCTCTTAATCATCATCCAGTGTATTATTTGTCTTTTATATCTCTACTTAACAAGTTCATTTTTTTTAGCTTCTTAAGCATATGAATACAGTTATAATAACTGACTCTGTGTCCTTGCCTATTATTATAATTCTGTCACTCATGTCAGTTCTGGCTCCATTTCAGTTGATTGCTTTTTCTTCTTATTCTGACTTATATTTTCTTGCTTTTTTGCATTCCTGTATTTTTTTTTATTTGCTAGGCATTATGAATTTTAACTTGTTTTAGATGTTACATATTTTTGTGTTCCTGAGCTTTGTTCTGAGAAATAGTTTTTGTTCTTATTTTTAAGTTTTGTCAGATGGCACTAGAGCTGTTTTGTCTAGGGTTATTTTTTCCCCAGTACTGAGACAAGGCCCATCTTAGAAACCCAGGATTTCTCAGTCTCAGTACTATGGATTTTTTTTGGTCAGATAATTCTTTTTTGCGGGTGGCTGTCCTGTTAATTGGAGGCATTTAGTAGCATCCCTTGTCTCTACTCACTAGACACCAGTAGCATTCTGCCCCACTTGTGGCAATCAAAACTGCCTCTAAACCCTGGTATTAAAATTGCCCCCAGAGAATTGCTGTGAACTGATGATGTGCTGTGAATCATGAAGTTTCTCATTCTGGCAATTGACAATAGGCAATATTCCAGGCCATGTGTGAGCTTCAAGCATTGTTCCCTCTGGTCTTTTTGGTTGGCTCTCTCCCTCCATATGTACCCTCAGTGGTTTCCTCATACATGTATTAATTAACATTCAACTGAATTCTCAAGGGTCACTCAGCATAGGACTTTTTTTTTTTTTTTTGTAAAGCTTTAAATTATTTGAAAAGTGTTACATGACTAATCTCTCCTAACTTACCTATTGCCTATTTAATGTTTTCTATATGGAGTTTCTTAGAGGTTAGCAAATTTATTAAAAAATAAAAATAACTCTAAGTAGTAAAAGGTCTTTGATGCAGTCTGAAACATATAATCTAGCTAGTTCCAAAAGTTACTTTGTAAGTAATTTTGGAAAACATAAAGCTATTTGTTTACTCACACTATATGATTTCTTAAAAGCCCTCTCTCCCTCATAAGTTCATTATGATACTTATTAAGTTTTTGAAGATGAGAGAGACTGCATACAAAGCTCTCAGCATCATGCCTGACACATAACAGTTTTAAAATTTATAAGGATACATATTCACACAAGTTAAATAACGTGGTTAAAGTAAGCTATGAGCTGCTAAAGAAAGATTTGAACTTCAATGTGTCTGGTTCCAACATGAGGTTATATTACTAAATGAAATGTCAGAGCTATACAAAGATGGAGATCTGTCGCTGAGTGAGTTCTTCATCACTGGTTTTGTTTATGTATAAACTGTGTAACCTGGGATATATCAAATAAGATGCAGGCATAGAACAGCAATTTGGCTAGATGATCTTTATAAAACTACTTTCACCCCTGATGAGATTCTCAAAAGGTACAAAGTATTGATCAGAATTTGTATGAATGAAAATAATGATTTTTAAGGTGTAATGACATTCCAGATTAAGGACAAAACATTTATTAGGTTAAATAACAAGAAGAAAGCAAGCAAAGCATGACTTTGTTAGAATCTAAGAGAATTATTGTACAAAAGATTGTATTCTACAGAATGCTGGAAGTACTTTACAGTATATAAACTTTTACTGTAATTCTACACATGGTACTGTGGTTTCAAATAATTCCCCATTATGATTTGTAAAATTGATAATACTTTTAAACTCTTATGTAAAATTATTAGAATACTAAAGGTTAAGATTTTTAACTACCTTTAACTACCTTTTAGAAAAGTATATTCTTTATAATGTGACCTCAATTTATGTTTTTCAGGCAGAAGCAACAAATTACCCACCTACATGAGAGGATAAGAGATAATGAATTACGGGCACAGCATGCCATGTTAGGACATTATGTAAATTGTGAGGATTCTTATGTGGCTAGTTTGCAGGTAAGGCTACAGAGAATTTTGTAGTTGTTTTAGTAGTAAAGCTTGTGTTAAAAATATATTTATCTTGAAATATTAGGATATTATAAGTTAATTTTTTAAATTAATAATACATTCACATGATATATATTTATGTGTGGTAAAAGATACTGTCTTCCATCTGTCCAGTTCATACCTACTCCACACGCAAGAACTGTGATCAGTTTCTAATGTATCCTTCAGAGTTGAGGCATATCACAAACAGATCTAAATGTAGTTTATCCCTCTACATTTACAAAAAGTATCAGAATATATACTTATCTGGCACTTTGCCTCTTTCCTATGTATTATTAATACATAAAATTATATAAAATATAATGCTTATTGTATTGATCATTATTTCTGATCTTTATGTAGTGCCCCTTTGCTTTTACAACTACATGATTTTCTATTTTATGGTGTTATTTATTCACTTTATTTATTTATTATTTATAATAAATTATTTTATTATAAATAAATTAAAATAAAATATTATTATTTATAATAAATTATGATAATAATTTATTATTCATTCATTTATTCACAATTTATTCACTTTAATCCCCCCTACTCATCAAAATTTGGGTTGTTTCCAGTTTGAGGTTATTATAAATAATGCTGTGAAGAATAGCCTTTTATAAATATTATTTTGCTCATGTACAAATATTGTTATAAGTTAAAGTCTGGGAAGTGAAATTTCTTGGTGTTATATGACTTTGCAGTTTTTATTGATATTGTCAAATTGCCATCTAGGAGAACATTATGTAAGACTTCTCTCTCTCTAACTCCCTAGCTGTCACAGAGTATGTTATCAAACTTAGGGATTTTGCCCTTCTGGTAGGTTTATACAAAATGCAGGAGAGAGGTATCGCCATACGGTTTTAATATATATTTCTTTTTAGAGTGATGTTGAGTATCTTTTTATATATTTAGGACCAATTCACATTTCTTTTTCTGTGAATTGTTTTTCATATCCTTTTGCTTATATTTTATGTTAGGTTTTAGGTTTTTGCTTATTGTTTCAGGAGTCGTTTATATATGAAAGAAATTAGCCTTTTATCTGTAATTTGATTTGAATGTACTTTTTCCAAATTTATTGTAATTTCTGTTTATATTATTATTCCTTTCTCCTTTGTGTAATTTTTTCTACCATGAAGTCTAATTCTAATGAGTATTTTATAAATGTGTCTCACCTTTACAAGTGAACCCATTTAACAAAACAATGACTAAAAATCAACTATGCTAAATTCTGATGTCATAAAAATGAATAATAGTTCCTGCGTTTACTGATCTCAAAACTTACAGGTGGAGAGACCATTTAGGAAAACATGTTTATCTGTTTCTTATCTATTTTATTCGTTTTAAAAGGGGTAAGGTAGTGTCTAGGTCCTAGGAAAAGAAATGTGAATAATGTTAGTAGTTTGGCCTGTAAGGAGAGTACAGTCTAATGGGAACACAGAGTTTGTGAGGCTTTATAACAAAATTTATGTGACTGGAAGGGCTACTTTCCCTAACTGTTACTCTTCTTTTTGAGAGTTTTTCTTAGGCTTGGTGCAGCAGCTCATGCCTGTAATCCTATCTTTCTGGGAGGCAGAGGCGAGGAGGATCTCTTGAGCTCAGGAATTCAAGAGCATCCTGAGCCCTGAACAAGAGTGTTACCCCATCTCTACTAAAAATAGAAAAAATTAGCCATGTGTGGCATGCCTGTAGTCACAGCTACTTAAGAGGCTGAAGCAAGAGGATTGCTTGAGCCCAGGAGTTTGAGGTTGCAGTGAGCTAGGCTGATGATGCCACGATACTCTAGCCCCGGCAATACAGTGAGACTCTGTCTTCAAAACACTTGTTTGCATGTTTTTCTATATAAACTTTATAATTGGCTTATTTCCAAAAGAAAATAAAACTGTTGACATTTTTATTGGGATCAAAAGTGAGGCCTGATAACTTTGTGGTAGTGTATACTTTTTTTTGCAGAAGTTTTTTTTGTCGTCTTCATTAAGGTCTTTATTCCTAGATTTAAAAAACATCATTTTAAGTGGACTTTTTCCCTTTCATTATATCTTCTAACATGTTAATAAATACTAAAGGCATTGATATGTTAAAATCATGAAATATTAAAGACCAGATAACCATCAGATTTACCTGAGGCGGAGGCATTTAACATAGATTCCAACTTGTTTTTCATACTTTAGTTACTAGTATATAAAAATACATTGTAATGTGGTCTCATCTATGACTTCTGTCACATGATAGCAAGGCTTTATGGTGCTGTACAGAGATTAATAGTGTACATTTATTTAAAATTGGTTTTCCTATGCTATATAAGTAGAATAATTTGATTTAATAAGTCTTTTAGCAGAACCATTCATTTTCTCTTTGTCATTCTGAATAACAGTTTTACTTTAATTATGCAATTATTATATTACTGAAAACATGTGAAAATAGGTAATCTGAATGATGAAACAAATTTTTTTGACACAATATCAGGCCAGTAGAGGGCTCTCCAAGTCAGTCTGCAAGGACAGATAAAAAGATCTGGAAGGATATGTTAAAAATATTTAGGAGGATTTTGAATTATATGGAGAATTATCATTGAGAAGTTTGATTTTAAAAGAGAAGGAAAATTCATAAAAGGAAATACAAGAAAATCTTAAATACTATATGGGTATAATAGACATATAAGATAAACTTTTATCAGTAGGTAGATATACAGAGAGCTAATAAAATGTCAAGGATTAGAAAAAACAACAGATAAGATAAAATATTTCTTTAGCATTAGAATATTTACCTTGGATCTATGAACAACAGCTTTATTTTTTATGCCTAACATTTTGCATATGCCTATTTTTCTGATCCATAGTTTGTTCTTCCTAATTCCAGAGCACATTAGACAAAGAAAATTATGCTTTTAATATTCTTTATATTATAGAGTAAATTAAGTCAATTAGTAAAATAAAAATAACATTCTTTTATGAATTTATACATAAAAAGCATATGCTTGAGAGAGAACTTCCATTTGCCTGTTAAAAACTTGCACTATCCTTGCAATAGATGTCACTTAGTCTCATTGGTAGAGAATGAGAACTATGTCTTTATTCTAAAATCCAAACCTTTCTAAATAGTTTTAGGGGTAGAATTGGTAGAACCAAAGAGTAGTTTATATGTACAGTACACCAAAATTTCCATCTGTGGTTAATAGGCCTTCATGGAAAAACGAAATTTGAAAGACACGTTTTCATTGTGTTAAGTAAAAAAGATTAGGGGTTTCTTCTTTCTGTATATACATGTGCTCTGAAAAGACCAACCAAGTAATACTGAGTAATATGAAACTTTCTAAGCTTCATTGCTGCGTCATTTGTTATTTTCTTTCCATTTTATCCTTTTTCCCCATTATATCTTTTTTTTTTCCTATTTCTTTTTCCTTCAGCTATTTTTTTTTTCTACCACCAACTCCTTTGGTTCTAATGAACATTTAATAAATGAGTCCCGCCTTTACAAATGAGCCTGTTCAACAAAACGTTAAACATCTAATGTGTTAAGTACTGGGGCTACATAAATGAAGAACAGTTTTTGCCTGTTATGGATCTCAAAGTCCATAGAGGGAGACTATATCAAAAACATGTTTATCCATTTCCTTAAAAGTTATTTTTATTCACTATGGATTAGGTCATTTAGGTTTTAGTAATATAAATGTGAATGAAGTTGGTTTTGCCCTCAAGGAATGTGTAGTCTAATGGTGAACACAGACAAACAATAGATAATTTCAAAATGTTATATGAAGTGTTTTAGAAACCCCTTCTACAAACATATAAATTAGTCTTCCAAAGGTCAAGTCAGGCTTCCTGTAGGAAGGGCTATCTAATCTGAGAACCTGATAAACTACACTAGTTTAGTCTGGTGAAGGGGTAGGAATAGCGCTTGAGGCATAGTGTGCAGCATGCGGAGAGGCCCAAAGAAATGAGGGGAGATAATATATTTGGAAAACTACAAAGTATTCCATATGGATGAAACGTAAAATGAGAGTAGGGTAGTTGTAAGAGATGTGGGTGAGGAGGTAAGGAGGGGCCATCACAGGTATCTGTCTGTTCCAGGTTTGCTTTGTTGTTAAATAATACACCCTAAATATTGTTAAAAATACACCTTCTTAGAATATTGACCCCTTTGTCATTATGTAATGTCCCTCTTTATCCCTGACAACTTTCCTTGCTTCTGAAGTCTGCTTTCTCTGATTAATATATAGCTACTTCCACTTTCTTCTGAGTAGTGCTAGTATCATATCTTCTTTATCCCTTTAGTTTGTATTCATTTGTGTCTTTTTATTTAATCTGTGTTTCTTATAGAGAATGTATAGTTGGGGATCCCCTCTGACAATCTTTATCTTTTAATTGGTGCATTTAGACTATTGATGTTCAGTGGTTATGGATATAGTTGGATTAATATCCACTGTATTTGTTAATGTTCTCTATTTTTCCTTTGTCTTCCATACTTTTTCTGTCTTTTGTAATTTTAATTGAGCATTTTATGTGAATCCATTTTCTCTTTTAATTTTGTTTGTTTTGTAGTGATAATGTCTTGTCCTGTCACCCAGAGTAGAGTACAATAGCATGATCATAGTCTCACTATAGCCTGAAACTCCTGTCCTCAAGCAGTCTTCCTACCTCAGCCTCCTGAGTAGATAGGACTACAGATGTGCACCACCGTGCCTACCTGATATATTTTTATTTTTAGTAGAGAGCGAGCCTTGCAGTGTTGCCCAGGCTGGTCTTAAACTCCTGGCCTCAAGTGAACTTCCTGCCTTGGCCTCCCAAAGTGCTAGGATTACAGGCATGGACCTCTTTTCATCATAGCAGTTATATTTCTCTTTTTACTTTATTTAGTGATTGGCCTAGAATTTGCATATACATTGCAACTTATCCAAGTCTACTGTCAAATAACCCTATACCACTTTACAGGTAGTACAAGTACCTTATCATAACAGAATCCTATTA